GGGGCTATAAAAGATGGCGGCCACAGGCCTTGTGGCCACTGCCTTCTTTCTTTCTCAGTGGACCACTCTGCATGCAGAGCATATCTCCTTTTCTATTTTAATTGGCCTGCACTCATTCAGTAGAGTAGCTCTTTTCAGAGCACTTCTTTTCCCTTCTTTACTTCCCTTTAATACCTTTAGTATTTTTAATAAATGTAAAACCCCCACTACTTCGTTACCTGTCTAATTCTTTGTTCAGGACAGGAAGAATCTGGAAGGGATGCCCTGAGAAGGAGCCCACAGCACTCCAGTACCCCACTGACAGACATTTTAAAAATATACCAAAATGTCAGCTTAAATTCAGATAAAAATGTAATAGGATAGGAAAAGAAAAATTCGGTGTAGGTTGGAGGGGGTTGGCCTCTTGGAGGACAAGAGAAGATCTGAAATGGATCTCAGATTGTTGGACATAGAAAAGAAATGAAAGGTATGTACATTGTAAGTAAGATCAAAAACTCAGCCTGAGTAAAACCTTGAAGATGAAGTTATACAACTTTGATCAAAGGGTTGTATCCTGCCTCAGATATTTTTCTACCTCATCAACTGCTTTGTCTGGCCTTTGTTGTCTGTCAGTTCTCCCTTTCCCAAAAGTCACTTAAATGTTGCATGTATTACTCAAGGTTTTATCTTTTTGTTCCTCTTTTTTTGGCAGTACTTTGCACTAAGATATATCCCAGTCTTTTTTTTTTTTTTTGTACTGGGGATTGAACTCGGGACCTTGCACTTGTGAGGCAGGCGGCGGAACCAATGAGCTAAATCCCTGGCCCCCAGTCTATTTTTTTTTTTTATGTTTATTTTTGAGACATGGTTTCATTAAGTTGCTAAGTTGCTCAGGTTGGGCTCAAACTTGCAATCCTCTTGCCTCAGCCTCCCTCAGTGGTAGGATTAAAAGCATGTGCCACCATGCCCAACTAGCTCTTTGTGCTGCTTTATGCTCATTCTATACATTTTCCCTGAGTTATCTTATCCAATATCATGGAATCAAATCCCTACTATTCAGTGAAAATGTCCAAATCTATATATGTAGCTATGACCCATTACCTCCACAGCCATATTTTTCAAGGAGTTCTTAGACATATCTACTGATTTAGCCTCCAAATCTCAGTATATTCATAATCAAGGTTTTTTTTTAATGCAAAGACCCTAATCTTCTGTACTTTTATTTGTAGTTCATGGTTTCATTTCCATTCATTTACCTAAGTGAGAAATCTAACCTGATAGTCATAGCCAGTCTTCTTTTTTTTTTTTTTGAGACAGAATCTTTGCTTGTTTTGAAAGCACAATGTAGCCCAGTCTTGCCTAAACTTGCAATGTTCCTGCCTCAGTTTTCTAAATGCTGGGATTACAGGTGTGTACTACCATAATCAGCTTCATAGTGATCCTTTTTTTTTTTTGTACTGGGGATCGAACTCGGGACCTTGTGCTTTTGAGGCAGGCACCAGAACCACTGAGCTAAATCCCTGGCCCTTCATAGTGATTCTTGATTGCATCTCCTTCATTTATTGCAAGTCTTGGTGATTCCATCTCCTATATATATTTTGTACCATTACCCCCTCTTCAAGTCTCACTCCGTTGCTTTGATTTTATCACCTGTCATCTGACCTCTTGGAGCAACTTAACTGGACTTCCTCAAATAGTTTCACCCTCCTTGTTTCTCCCAGCTCCACTCTATCCTGGATACTCTTTATAAAACCCAAGTTTGTCCTTGTCACTCTGTAATTTAAAATGTATGCTGGGTCCCTGGGTTAGCTTTCCATTACTATAACATATCCCTGAGATAATCAACTTATAAAGAGGAAAGGTCAGGCTGGGCATTTAGCTCAGTTGTTCCGCCACTTGCCTCACAAGTGCAAGGTCCCAAGTTTGATCCCTGGTACCAAAAAAAAAAAAAAAGTTTGTTCGGCTCATAGTTTGGGAGGTTTCAGCCTCTTTGCTCTGTGGCTGTGGCAAGGCAGCACATCATGGTGGGGGCACATGTCGGAGAAAAACCATTCACCTCATGGCCAGGAAGCAAAAGAGAGAGAAGGAAGGGACCAGAGTCCCTCTATTTTGTTCAAAAGCACTGCAGCAGTGACCTAAAGATCTCCCACCAGGCCCCACCTCTTAACAATTTCACCATTTCCCAACAGCACCACACTGAAGACCTAGCCTGTACCACATGAACCTTTGGGGCATACTGAAAATCCAAACCGTAGCAGTCCCTATTGTCTACTGACCTGAGTCCAAATTCCTTAAAAGCATGACTTGCCAAGTGCTCAGCAAACTGGCTCCACTTGATTTGATCAATGTCATCACCACTCTTCCCCACCCTGGCCCCCTTTTCTTCAACTTTACTGAACTCTGATTATGTCCTACCAACAATAAGGGCCCTTTCACAATCCTGGGCCTTGACCCATGTTGTTTACTCTTCCTAAACTGTCTGCCCTCTCTTCTCTATTTGGTAAATTCTTATTCATCAGCTACGCTCATAAATGTGTCAACTCCCTGCTGATGACTTCCCTAAGGCATTGAGATAGAGTTAGTCACTTCTGGGTTCCTATAGCCCTTTGCCCTTTCCTTTAGCAGTGGCCACTGTTCACATTTTGGGCCACCTAACCTCTTTTGAATACCTATGATATGCTAGCAAATCTTAGCCTCATTAATTCTATTTCTCTGAGATAGAACCCAGAAAAAAAAAATTTCTTATAGCTAGGGAGCAGTTAAATGACTCAGGCTCTTGCAATCTTATGTACCTGCAAGAATTTTTTTTTTAAAGGGAGCAATATTTATGCCAGAGGGGTCAGGCAAGAGACTAACTTAGTAAGATTGGTCTGAACAGGCCTTTGATTCTCAGGGTGACCAAGGGCAGAGCTGTGGTATGTAGCCCCTAGTGCTGACCGATAATGAGAGTGGTATTTACTAGATCACCTTTCTGGGGTGGCTGAGAATGTTTGGGCTTCATAGTCTGGTTTTTTGACTCTCTTAGATATTTTATGAACCACCTAACATCTTATGATTAATTAACTGCCTACACAAGTGTGAATGAATCTTTCTTTTCTGTTTGGAGATTAAACTCAGGGCCTCATGTGTGCTAAGGAAGTATTCTGCCACTGAGCTACATCCCTGGCCCTTTTTATTTTTTACTTTGAGACAGGGTCTCATTAAGCTTCCAAGCCTAGATTTGAACTTTCAATCCTCCTGCCTCAGTCTCCCAAGCAGTTAGCATTACAGATATATGCCACCACATCCAGCTGGATCTGTTTTTGCATTGACTGAGAAACAGTGACAGAAATACATTGGTTGGAACATTTATGGAATTTTATTATACATATTTGCTTGAATGTCTGACTCCTCCATTAGATTAATCTCCATTAGATTAATTGTGTCTCTACTTTCTTGAATATTTTTATCGCAAATACATGTAAAGGGCCTACTCCGTGCTGTACACAGTGCTAGTGATTAGGGAGAATAGTGGGAAAGAGACATGTGACTGTCACTCCTATAAACTGTATAGTCTAAAAGATCTGTGCCAGAAACACTCTAGGTGTCCAGCTGAGTTAGTACACCAATCATTGAATGAATTATTTTAATTATTGGATATTTATGCCTGGAGAACATATAGATAAATTAGAAATGTCCTTAAGTTTGTTTTAGGCTAATGAGAGAAACAGACATGTAAACAATCAATTTTAATGCAATGTGAAAAGTGTAAAAACAAAAACATATTCCTAATTCACTAGTGGCACAAAGAAGGATGAAGTGAGGAACTCTGCCTGGAAAAGACAAGAGTGAAAATGAACTACTGAACATGTAATATTTGAGTGAGTATGTATAGAATTTCTTTTCTTCCCCTTTTCCCCTTTTCTTCTCCATTTTTTCTTCATTCTTTCCTTCTCTTATGCCCTTCTTGCTATTTCCTTTGCCCTTTAAAGTCCAACTCAAGGGCTACCTTTATAATAAATCTTTACTGGCCACTCCTTTTTTTCCCTTCTAAAACACCAGGCTGGGCCGGGGATTTAGCTCAGTGATTCTGCCACCTGCTTTGCAAGCGCAAGGACCCAAGTTCGATCCCCGGTACCAAAAAAAGAAACAAAAAACAAAAACACCAGGCTGAGTAAGGAATCTTTCCAAATACCCATTATGTCTTGTACGTGCATCTACTATTCTTTTACTCTTTGATATGTATCATCCATGTATCTATCAGTGCTCCCCTTCCGAGCCAGGGGCTGGCAGATGATTAGTGCACAAAGGAATTCAATAAATGTTTCTTGAGCAAATTTAAATTAAAATCGCAATTTAAATGAAAACTCCATCTCCACTGGAAAGGCCAAAATGAAAACGATTGAAAATATCAAGTCTTGATGAAGACTGGAAACTCCAAACATTGCTGAAGGAGTATAAAATGCTACAATTTTGGAGAACTTGGAAATTGTAAAATTAAGAAAAGAAAGTAACAATAAAGCAGGTGACAAGTACCTTGTGGGATGACATGCAAGGTCATTGTGAGAGATGTATTGAGTGAGTCCTTTGGGAACTGGGGTACATGGCCAATGCTTCTGTTTCATATACTTTTGTGCTTTATGAGATGTGAGTACAAATTATTCAGACTCTGGAGCGGAGAGTAAAGGAGTTACCAATCTTATTTACAAACACGAGAAGCCACTCAGTGCATGACATGGCCCACGCCACCCAAAGGCCAGAGTAGAAGAGTCCTAATTGCCCGGCGGCCTAGTCACAGAATGCGCCTCTGTCACCCTTCTCCTGGCTCAGGCCAAAAGCGGCCAACAACACGCGGGCGACTCAGGGCAAGTGCACCTGAGGCCTTTGGGAACCCAAGGGGCGCCTGGGGGTGGGGGTTGATGGGGGGGTGAGGTTCCCAGGGTGTCCAGTAGGTGTCGCTGCCGCGCAGGCGCGGGCCGGGGGCGCGTGCTCCCCTGCTGCGGCCCCCGAGCGCCTCACCTGGGCTCGCGCGCTTGGCCGCAGAGTCCACGCCGGGTGGCGGTGCCGCCGCCGGGCCGAGGCGTCGCTGGGGAGAAGTCCAGCTGCTGTGCGAGTGACACCCGGCTCAAGCCCCGTCTTGGAACCCTCTGCCTTCGCCCGCCCAGAGATGAGGGGGCGGGGTCGGGCCGCGCGCCGGGAAAAGCGAGCGGGCGGGCGCGCAGGTAGCTTCCTCCTCAGGGCCCAGGCGGCGGCGAGCGCGGCGTCCACGCAGTTGGCGGCGGAGGCGGACGAGAAGATGCCACTGTCTCCGCCCTCGCAAGGCGAACCCGGGGAGTCCAGCCCGTCCAAGGCCCCCAAGAAGCACGGCACTTTCCACATCTGGCGCTGCAAAAAGAAGCCGCAGCCTGCGCCGTCGGACTGTGGCGTGTTCGTCCCGCACCCGCCCCACGCGCCAGTCGGCGAGGCCAGGTGAGCTCCCGCCCAGCCCGCCGGCCTCCCAGCTCCCCCACCGTCCCGTTCTCTCCCAGCCTGCTCACCGGACGTCCATGGAGGGGGCGCCCGGGCCGGGCCCACCCCGCACCGGTATGTAGCGGGTCCGTCGCGGACGGCCACGGTCAGCACAGCTCCGGGCTCAGGCTGGGCACCGGCCCGGGGAGCTTGTGCCCACCACGTGGCCTCTGTCGTTGGACTGGCGAAGACTTGGTGCAGCCCGTGGGAGGGGGGCCTGAGGGTGGTGAGGGGCTGTGCCCACAATGAGTGATGCTAGCTAGAAACGACTTCGGGTCATGTTGGGATAATAGTTTGGATAATAGTGCCTTCATGTAAAGATCTCCACTCTTACAGGAATTATGCCTCCACGATCCCCGCAAGATCCCAAGGAGAGAGGAAGTTACGGGGACGGGTATCCCCACTTTATGGGTGGAGAAACTGAGACGGAAGGGTAAATGGCTGGACCCCAGTGGAGTTAGTGACAAACCTAGGGAGCACCCAGTTATTCAGTGTGATTGCTTTTAAATTTTTATGTTGGTTTTACTATATGTATAATTAGTCGTTTATCCTACAGAATTGATGCATTGGTTGAACAATTATTTCTGTAGTTTGGAGATATAAAATGTGTGTGTGTGTGTGTGTGTATGTGTATGTGTGGTGATTTATATCTCCAAACTACAGAAATAATCCAATCTGTGGCCACGTAAATGCTAAGCAAGTGCTCTACAGTAAGCTACATCCGAAGCCCTGGAGGTGTGACTATTTTTAGAGGTGGACATTTGGTAGTGTCTGGTGAATCCTTCCATGGGTGTTTTTAAAGGACATCCTTATGGTGTTCGCTTTGGCAACACATCAACTAAAAAAAAGTATACCCCTGTGAACAGTGAGGGCCAGAATGAAACTGTTTACACAAGATGTGCATTTCAGATAGATCATGTCCTCCCCTCCACCCCAACCCTGTGCTGGGAATTGAACCATCACATTGAGCTACATCCCTAGACTTCTTTTTTTTTGACTAGGTCTTGCTGACTTGCTAAGTTGTCCAGGCTGGACTTGAACTTGTGATTCTCCTGCCTTAGCCTCCCAGAGGCCTAGGATTACAGACATGTACCACCATGCCTGGCTTACATATTTACTTTTATTTCTAAAGAGGTCTTAATTTTGAAATGTATTTTCATTCATTTGATGAACTTTATTAAGAACTTAGCTAAGTGCTCGATATCCTTGATACTGTATAAGAAACAATGAAGCTGGGCACAGTAGGGCAAGCCTAAAGTCCCAGCTGTTCCAAAGGCTGAGGCAGGAGGCTCTCCTGAGCCAAGGAGTTCAAGGCCAGCTTGGAAAACACAGGGAGATCCTATCTGTTAACAAGCAAACAATGAAAGACAATAAGAATTCTGTCATTGAAGAATTCCTAATCTCTTGTGGAGACTAGAAATTAAATAGTGGGTCAAATGATGTGAATGATGCCAGTGCTGAGGAGGGGATTCAGGGAGGGTTTCTGGAGATGAAAAGTGGCTTAGTTAGAGAAGGGGAGGAGCAAGGAGTTCCAGGCAGAGATTAGCATCACTAATGCTCAGAAGAGTGAGCTATTTCCAGAGAAGCACAACTGGTTCACAGGGGTGTGAGTGTGTGTGAGGAGTGAGGGAAGGAAGGCTAAGAGAGAAAACACTTAACTCTCTCATTTTTTATCATCCACACTGTTAACTGATTGTAATAGAACACACTTTTATCTATTAAAACATTGCCTAGGGGCCAGGGATTTAGCTCAGTGGTTCCAGCACCTGCCTCGCAAGCACAAGGTCCTGAGTTCGATCCCTGGTACCAAAAAACAAAACAAAACACTGCCTAAATATGGATGGACGTTTCTAACAAAATGTTACCTAATAATGAAGTACCCAATATTAAAGCACTTTTCCTACTATCTCAGTAAATATTTTAAACACTTTCATAGGGATTTTTCCTACCTGAACTAGTCTCATCATTTCTTATTTGTGAAAACATAACAATACACAGCACTAGATAATTTAGTCAAACATAAAAACATTTTAGAGGAAAATTGAAAATAGGCACTGTTGTGTCTTTTCTGGAGCTTTGTATATTTGAGTTCAGTCTTGAAGCACTTCATTCTTTCCTTCAGAACTATGATGAACTTTGTACTAGCACATGTTCTGAAAGCTAAACATACTGGTCTGTCTTTGGGATGTTTTTCCAGTTAGATTATCTCCAAATTTTCATTTATATCAGAGAGAGTGTATCTGTTTGTATTCTAAAGAGAGTGACAGATCTCACATAGGTTTCTGTCAGTCTATAGCCAGGGCAGCCTTCTTGAGCCATCTTGAGCCATCTAGCCATGTCCATTCATCTGTCCAGGACTTGGAGATGGTGGCACTTGGCCAGAATAAGCAGCAGTCACTGTGGCCTTTGTCTCCACTTAAGGAGGGGGCTGTCAGGTAACCAAACTTATTTACTGGGAATATATTATTTCTATTACAGGCTTTTAGGTCTGACAAAAATGAATTTATGTCCTGACTGTGTGACTGTAAGCAAATTATTTTACCTGAGTTTCAGTTTCTTTATTTGTAAAGTGGAGGCAATAGTAACACTGATTGTGTGTAGGGCTCTTGTGAATATTAAATGAAAGTTTTTATGTTACATATGAAAAAAGCCTTATATTTCTGGGCACAGAGTAAAACTTGGTACAGTTGTCCTTTGCTCTTCATGGGAGATTTGTTCCAGGACCCCAGTGGATGCCAGAATTCAAGGATATTTTTGTTCTTTATAGAAAATGGCATTTTTGCATATAACCTACACATATCCTCTGATGAAATGACTTTAAATCATTTCTAGATTACTTATGATACCTAACCCAATGTAATTCTATGTAAATGATTGTTATATTCTGTTTAGAGAATAATGACAAAAAAATCTGTACATGTTCAGTACAGATGTGAACCTGGTGTAGTGGTGCATGCCTGTAGTTTCAGCACTCAGGAAGCCGAGGCAAGAGGATCTCTGAGGGTTCAGGTGTAATCTGGGCTGTGGAGTGAATTTATTGCCAGCTTGAACTACATAGCAAGACCTTGTCTCAAAAAAACAAAACAAAACCCAAAAACCCAAGTTGGCGTGGTGGGACACGCCTCTAATCCCAGCACTTGGGAGGCTGAAGTAAGAAGATTGACACAAGTTCAAGGCCAGTTTGGGCTGCATAGTGAGCTCAAGGCCAGCCTGCACTACAAAGTGAGACCCTGTCTCAAAAAACCAAAAAAAAGCAATTTTTTTTAATGAGGAAAAAGAAATTATTTAGCTCATGTTTTCCCTCAAATATTTTTGATCTACAATTGGTTACATCTATGGATGTGTAGAGCCAACTATACAGAAAATACATAATATATTTAGGATTCTCTATTATCCACAGTTTCAGACATCCACTGGTGGTCTTGAAATTTATCCCCCTCCTCCCCCAAGAATAAGAGGCCACCACTATCTTGTTTCAAATGTAAATATAAAGCTACCATCACCATCATCATAAAAGCAAAGGTCTAGTGGAATGAATGAAAAAATGGGTTAGATAGGGAAAAATGCTTCTTGTCATAGAAAAGCTTACCATTCCAAAGATGCTTTAAATGCTTATTATGTCAAACTTTTATTTTTTTGTTTTGTTTTGTTTTTTGGCACCAGGGATTGAACTCAGGACCTTGTGCTTGCGAGCCAGGTGCTGGAACCACTGAGCTAAATCCCCAGCCCTATGTCAAACTTTTATATGCAGCAGGTATTTGTGACTTTTAGGGTAGACAGTCTAAAAATCAATATTTTTTCTGCATAAAATATGCTGAAGCCAGGAGTGGTAATGAACACCTGTAAACCCAGTACTCTGGGAAGCTAAGGCAAGAGAATCACAAGTTTGAGCCCAGCCTGGGCTACTTAGTAAAACCCTGTCTCAAAATAAAAAAATAAGGGGCTGGGGATTTAGCTCAGTGGTTCTGGTTCCTGCCTCGCAAGCGCAAGGTCCGGAGTTCAATCCCAGGTACCAAAAAAAAAAAAAAAAAGCTGTGGGGATGTAGCTCAGTGCGAAGGTCCTGGGTTCAATCTGCAGTACTGCCCCCCAAAAAGTGAAGATGGCTGCTTCTCTTACTAAAATTCATTCTTAAAGTTTTTTTTAGCTTTGGTAAACATGTTAATGTAGATTCAGCCCATCTTCATTTTCTGGGTCCAAAAGTGTATGTCCATAGTTCATGGAAGGAAGTGGCCTTATGCTCCTTAGCAGATGTGAGTGGCATCTCCTTTGTCAGTTTTTAATGATACTCCATTTTGTGAAAAATTTATTCAGAGAATGAACTTTTTTTTTTTTTCTTCTGCAGTATCAGGAATTGAACTCAGGACCTTGCGTTTGCCAGGCAGGCATGGTGCTGCTGAGCTACATTCCTGGCCCTAGCATGGACTTTTTACATGAGTTTAGATCCTTATTTTTCCACTTACAGTGACACTTAGCCCTTTAATCCTGGCCAGGTTATTAATCTTTTTTTTTTTTTGGCACCGGGGATCAAACTTGGGTCCTTGCGCTTTCACAACAGGTGGCGAAACCACTGAGCTAAATCCCCGGCCCAAGGTTATTAATCTTATTGCACTGCAATTTCCTCATCTATGTAATGGGAATAAGAGCTGTATAAACAAATTGATGCATGTGAAGTGCTTAGGATAATGACAGGCACATAGGGAGTGCTCAGTAAATGGGAATTCTTTCTCTTTTTCTTAAGACTGTCTTGCCTGTTCTTCCTTTTGGGTAGTAATTTTATGTGTTTATTTTCTGCTATATGATAGAAATATTTTCTTTTTATATTTCCTGTTCAAGACACCCTGTGTTATTTCGATTTGGAATGGGTTCTGGGGTATAGCTCAGTGACAGAGTGCTTGCCTAGATGTGCAAAGCATTGGGTTTGATCTCTAGCACTGCAGATAAAGAGGGGGGGAGTGAACTC